AATAATGGATTCCACTGCCATCTGCTGTCATCTACTAGTTATGTCAGAATTATGCTTATGGTATAACCATTGTCATTGGTGATTTTTATTCAATTTTTATTCAATTTTATTTTATTCAATTTTTATTTTTATCTATTCAATCAGGCAACATTTAAGTACCAGGATTGTTAGAGTTATGTATAGACAATATAGGGAAATAATGTTCTACTCATAATGTATTCAATATTATTTTTTAATAAATAAAAACATAATAATCAAAGATGATCTTTGAGTGGTCTCATCTTAATTGGATAAAAACGTAAAGTGAACAGTTTCTCATTAATGGTGATTTACGCATAATTATATTAGAGTGACGTAGTTTGCACACACGATAACTTAAGGTATATAAATTTTAGTTTTTATACTCCTAGAAAGTGAGCAAACGTTTTAAAAAAAGAATAGAAAAAAGAAAAGAATTTCCCGCTGCGTGTTTATAGATAACTTTTCGTTATACACATATAATGTGGATGAAAATGTATGATTTAGACGGTTACAATGTAGCGTTATCATTGGGGATAATATTTGGTGATAAGATAACCGTATATATACATGAATGTTTTCTATACTTGTTGAACCGTATAGTTTGTTTACTGATTAAATATTTCAAACAATTGACGAGATTCTTGTTGTGACTTGAAATATAGAAAAATGTATCATTAAAAAGATCATGATATAGGGTTTATGTGTTATAACTTCATACCGAGTAACTAACTTTTTTTAAAAAGTGTGCAACAACGGGCCGTGGTCACATAAATCTTTCCGTTAATACATGTTGTGCCCTCGTAAATGTATATATTGAGGATGTCCAGCGTCCTTAAAATTCCTAAAAAAATCACTTTTTTAAGTTTGGCTATAATTTCTAAAAAAAAAAAAGAAAAAAAAAGAAGAAATGAAAAATTGAAAGGGAATTCCTAAAAATGCCCTATTTTCTGTTAAATTCCTTTTTTATCTTTTGTTACAATCATACTTATAACTTTGAAAATGTCAGAAGATTTTGTAAATAAATCCTTGCATGTTTAGAGAAGTCTTTTAGTTAAAGGCCCATTTAGCCAAAAATGTTTTTTTTTCTTGTTCTCTTTAAATGACCTCATTTTTACATATTCTACACTGCATACTTCCGATGATAGCATTTAATATGTTTTATTTAAATCCATTGTTAAAACTTAAGTAAACACATGTTTTTTACTTCTCAAGCCGAAAAGTGGTATTGATTTCTGAGTTAAAATCAAATTATAGATTTAAATTAAAGGCCCGTTATGCCTCAAAAATGCTTTTATTTACATTTCTCAAAAGCTTTTTAATTTTGGTTGTCCTCATAAAAGTATCCAAAAAGTAACTCATTGGCCAATTACCTAAATCATCTTTTTTATCTGTTGCCTGTAGGCAATAAGTGCAGTTATAGTGAATTAGTATTTTGGTATGGAAGTCAAAAGACTACTGTGTTTACATTTTTCTAATTTTATGTCAATTTATTTTACATGTATCGCTATTTTTTCAGGTTAGAAACATCTAAGATTTCTCTGAAAACATAATTTAAACATGATAAAATTTATGTTTTCCCTTTCTAAAGAAGTAAAAATTTGAGCCGCATCACAACAAAACCAACTTAATGCGTTTGCGACCAGCATGGATCCAGACCAGCTTGCGCATCCGCGCAGTCTGATCAGGATCCATGCTGTTCGCTATCAGTTTCTCTACTTGTAATAGAGTTGGTAAGCGAACAGCATGGCTCCTGATCAGACTGCGCAGATGCGCAGGCTGGTCTGGATCCATGCTGGTCGCAAACGCACTATGTTTGTGTTGTCGTGACGCGGCTCAAATACTGATTGTATATTTAAAGAATCATCACCTTAGTGGGAAACAGAAAAAAAATGTTTACAGTATTTCCACCAATGGCCAAAATTGATTATTTTGTACACTTATTCTAAATTAATTAAATGGCACCGAACTAGATTCTTGCGCGCATGGACTTTAATCGTTGCAATTGGCCCCGTGTAAGTGAAAACGATGACATTTATGAATGTTATTCATCGCGCAATAATATTTATATTATGAAAATATACTGTTTCAGCGCCGGTAGTTAAACGACCAAACATAACTAACCAATTCCATACCAGGGTTGAAATAGTGTTCAAGAATATGAATAAAACAGAGCTCGTCCACGAGTATTTTGATGACGTCAACAATCGTGGGTATTTGAGTCAGACGGACGAAAGTTTTCGGCTGAATGCTTGGTTTAATTATGGAACCAACGAGTTTATAGGATTTTATCCTGACGCACCTGGTGAGTCACTTCCTCTTAAATGATTAATTAATTGATTAATTAATTAATATATTGTTTATTTCAAATTCCCGATTCGATAAGTGAAAGATTTTTGTAAGAAATAGTGTTCTATTTCAGAACGATATTCTCAGTTTATTCAAACGTTATCAAACAAGTTTAACTAGTGTTACAACTTATATGCTTATCTACTGACATGACTTGACACGTGACGGGTGTCTACTGGCATGATGTATGACTACTGACATGACGTGACATATTACGTGTGACTACTGATATGACGTGCAATATCTTCATGATAATGTGACTACTGATAAGATTTCTGGCTACTGACATGACGTGTGGCTACTGATTTACCGTTAGGCTACAAATATAACATTGGGCTACGGACATAACGTGTGGCTACTGACATAACGTGGGGCTACTGACATAACGTGGGGATACAGACATAACGTGTGGCTTCTGACATGACTTGAAATCTTACGTGTTACTACTGACATAACGTGTGACTACTGAAATGACGTGTGGCTAGAGACATAAAGAGTGACTACGGACATCATGTGTGATAACTGACATCATGTGGGGCTACATGTATAACTTGGGGCTCCAGACATAGCGTGGGTCTACAGTCTAACATATGGCTACTGACATGACGTGTGACAACAGACATAACGTGTTTCTACTGACATAACGTGTGACTACAGACATGACGTGGGACTACTGACAAAGACGTGACTATTGAAAAACATGTGGCTACTAACATAACGTGTGACCACAGACATAACATGTGACTACAGACATAACATGTGACTACACACATAACGTGTGAATAAAGACATAAAATTTGGCTACTGACATAACGTGGGGCTACTGACATCACGTGTGCCTACTGACATAACATGTGACTACTGACATAAAGTGTGACTATTGACATGACGTGTGACTACTGACATAACGTGTTACTACTGACATGACGACGTACATTGTGTGATATTTTTTAAATTATAATAGTTCAGTAAAAAATAATATCTCTCGATTTTCACGTGCATAGATACAATGCCTGGCCGATGCTTTGTACAAAGCATGCAGAATTCCGAACAAAGATTTTTATTTGGTTATAACAAAAACGCACCTGGTGGTGAAGGACATATCTTCAGTGCGGCGGGAGCTCTACATTTCGGGGGACAAGGAATAAATGAGGTAACAAATTTATACGTCATACAATGCAGGAAACGCCTAAACATGCCTATGATGTTAGATATAGGGAACTGAGATAATTTATTCACACATAGAGTCAGGTTCTATATATACTTGACAATAATGTTAGATATAAGGAACTGAGATAATTTATTCATACATAAAGTCAAGCTCTATACTAACCTATGATGTTAGATATAGGGAACTGAGATAATTTATTCATACATAAAGTCAAGTTCTATACTTACCTATGATGTTAGATATAGGGAACTGAGATAATTTATTCACACATAAAGTCAAGTTCTATACTTACCTATGATGTTAGATATAGGGAACTGAGATAATTTATTCATACATAAAGTCAAGTTCTATACTTACCTATGATGTTAGATATAGGGAACTGAGATAATTTATTCATGCATAGAGTCATGCTCTATTCTTGCCCGAAATGTTAGATATAGAGTTGATAAGTTTAGTTGTTCTTAAGAAGTAAGGTATGCACATGCGCATGATGTTAGTGTTGATTTAACGCGGCAATTATTCGTTAATACAGTAATATCCTTACTAAACATATACGATATGCATGCTTATTGTTTGGTTTTATATATTTTTTTGTTCAGGTATACATGGGACGGACAGTTGTTCGAGACATCCAGGTTGACTGGTGGAGATCATGCCAGTACTGGGATCATTTTGATGCCACTATGATAGTAGACTGGTATTTTACTGGTAAGATTTTCTTCTTATAATTCCTGACTTTCATTTATGTATTTTATTATAACGTTACTTTACAGTAAAGCGTTTTTTCTCTCTTATGACCGCAGCCATGCACTTTACTGGTAGGTTCGTCCCCAAAACTTAGATGTGTACAATACTGTAAGGTTGTCCATATAACCGTAGATGTGTACTGTACTGTAAGGTTGTCCATATAACCGTAGATATGTACGATACTGTAAGGTTGTCCATATAACGGTAGATATGTACGATACTGTAAAGTTGTCCATATAACCGTAGATATGTACAATACTGTAAGGTTGTCCATATAACCGTAGATGTGTACTGTACTGTAAGGTTGTCCATATAACCGTAGATATGTACGATACTGTAAGGTTGTCCATATAACGGTAGATATGTACGATACTGTAAAGTTGTCCATATAACCGTAGATATGTACGATACTGTAAGGTTGTCCATATAACCGTAGATATGTCAGATACTGTAAGGTTGTCCATATAACCGTAGATAAGTAGGATACTGTAAGGTTGTCCATATAACCGTAGATATGTACGATACTGTAAGGTTGTCCATATAACCGTAGATATGTACGATACTGTAAGGTTGTCCATATAACCGTAGATATGTACGATACTGTAAGGTTGTCCATATAACCTTAGATATGTACGATACTGTAAGGTTGTCCCCTGCGTACTTTAACTATATTTTTTCTTTTTTATTCAAGACGTTTCCTGGTTTAAAGTCTTGTCTTAATATATGTTTTTAATGATAACAATTAGTGAACTTTTTACGTCATTTGTTCATAATAGATGAATAACGTCTACATAATATATGTGTGTTTTTATAAATTTGTATGTATGTTAACGTGATAGAATATTACGGTTTTGAGTCATTACTACAAGGCAAGATTTTTTTTTTACTTTAGCGTATGAATTACTTAAATACAAAATATCCGTCTGCTACTTGAAAACTTTAGTACTAAATTATGTTATAATGACTGTGTATGAAACAAAGGTAAATGAGCTGCGTCACGACAAAACCAACACAGTGGGTTTTCGACCAGCATGGATCCAGACCAGCCTGCGTATCCGCGCAGATTGATCAGTTTCCATGCTGTTCGCTTACAAACCTTATAACAAGTAGAGAAACTGATAGCCAACAGCATGGATCCTGATCAGACTGCGCGGATGCGCAGGCTGGTCTGGACCCATGCTGGTCGCAAGCCCATTATGTTGGTTTTGTCGTGACGCGGCTCAAATATCTTAAGTTAATCAATTCTCGTCTTATTACCAGCACAAAACTCGTGGAACTCCGCTGTTGGGGTCCGAGTACCAGTCATGGCGCACGTGAAAGGAATATCTTACAAAGTAACCAAGAGTCATCCGGAAGGCAAACATTTATTCGAGCACTATTATAACTTCTTTGATTTCCGGCCATATTTAAGCTCAGATGAGAACAGTGTTTTTGAGGTAAGTTTCTCGGTCTACATTGAATGAGTGGCTCGCTCATTTTAACATTATTTTAATAACAATATCTTAATTAATTGCACAGTATGAATAACAGATTCTTATAGTGATATAATATTACATATCTCAATTTTTAGTGATACTATTTAGCATTTCACTTTCTTGTTTGATGATATAAAACATATCTCATTCTTGTAGTGATGATATAAAACATATCTCATATTCTTGTAGTGATGATATAAAACATATCTCAATCTTGTAGTGATGATATAAAACATATCTCATATTCTTGTAGTGATGATATAAAACATATCTCATTTTTGAAGTGATGAAATATAACAAATCTTCTTGTAGTGATAAAATATAACATTTCTCACGCTTGAGCAACATGCATGAAAATATAACAAAATACGTGTGACCGTAAATTTAAAAGCACGGGTAAGTTTAGACACATTTCGATTAAATGTAAAATAATTGTAATTTTAGACACCAGCTGGTGTGCAGTGTCCAGGCCGGAAGATGGTGCGTCAATTTCCTGTTGTCCCTAACGACGCTTTCTCCTTCACAACGGAAATACTCGACACTGTAAATCTTAGGCTTTCTTTTATGAAGGTAAGCCACCGCTATTGCGTTTTCTATATACACGAAGAAGGCAGAACACCTCTAATATCTGCATACCTTGTATGTACCTCAGTTATCACAATATAAGTTGCATATACTACAGGATAAGAATATAAAATTTAAATATGCATACATTAACAAGATAGTATCTCAATGTGTCTTTTTTTCATACTTCAAATCACAAGTCTACATAAAATAAATTTCTGAATAAAGTTTTAAACTGATGTGTGTGCATAGATCGGTAAAATCATAGTATCGGTGTGTTCGGCAATATCATAGTATCAGTTCGGTAATATCATAGTATCAGTTCGGTAATATCATAGTATCAGTTCGGTAATATCATAGTATCAGTTCCGTAATATTATAGTATCAGTTCGGTAATATAATAGTATCAGTTCGGTAATATTATAATATCAGTTCGGTAATATAATAGTATCAGTTCGGTGTTAACATAGTATCAGTGTGTTCGGCAATATCATAGTATCAGTTCGGTAATATAATAGAATCAGTTCCGTAATATTATAATATTAGTTCGGTGTTAACATAGTATCAGTTCGGTGTTAACACAGTATCAGTTCGGTAATATCATAGTATCAGTTCCGTAATAGTCTAGTATCTGTTCGGTAATATAATAGAATCAGTTCCGTAATATTATAATATCAGTTCGGTGTTAACATACTATCAGTTCGGTGTTAACATAGTATCAGTTCCGTAATATCATAGTATCTGTTCGGTAATATTATAGAATCAGTTCGGTTATATCATAGTATCAGTTTGGTGTTAACATAGTATCTGTTCGGTGTTAACATAGCATCAGTTCTGTAATATCATAGCATCTGTTCGGTAATATCATAGTATCAGTTCTGATATATCATAGTATCAGTTCTGATATATTATAGTATCAGTTCTGATATATTATAGTATCAGTTCGGTAATATCGCAGTATCGGTTCGGTAATAGCACAGTATCAGTTATTAGACTTGACAAGATATATCACTTGACAGCATTATTTATTTGAATAAATTTTCATTTAAAATTGACATTCTTTTTCAAACACATCTTTTTCTTTAAATACAATTTTCAGGAGACATTTTTCTACTCACAGAAGCTTGTAATGTATGAATACATTCCCCAGACAGGTGATAGCTCACCATACGGTCTAAACGATCTCATAGAAATACACGATTTTCATACAGGTATCTATCATTTTTTTATATCAAATTATAGTTATTATGCACTAAAAAGCTGAAGACCGCTTTAAACGTTACTTTATCGTGCAAAAGTGATTATATACTGGCCTTGGCAAGTGAACTTTAAGAGCTATTTACATATACATATTTACTCTTTCCGTAAGAACAAGGAACAAGGAACTAAGCTTTTACCCTGATATGTAAGTTTAAACATCATGTATTTAAATATTTAAAGTATCTATGCCTAAAGAAGAAATCATATATTTTTTGCGTAGGAGTTGCTTACGTCACAGACCGGGCACGTGGTAACTGTAGTTACCGCCCTATCGAAGGTTCAGACTTTGACGACCGGTCTAGCGGTCCAAACACAGTAAGGATACGTAATTCTAGAGAGTTTTTCTATTTCGACGTGAAAAGTGCCTCATACGAAGGAGTGGTGAGTATATTTGAGCCGCGCCATGACAAAACCAACATAATGGATTTGCGACCAGCATGGATCTAGATGCTGTCCGCTATCAGTTTCTCTACTTGTAATAGAGATGGTAAGTGAACAGCATGGATCCTAATCAGACTGCGCGGATGGTCGCAAACCCATGATGTTGGTTTTGTCGTGACGCGGCTCATTTATTGAACAAAATATTTAACAGCATGATTTCGTTTGCCTTGTTTAAACTAAAATGTTATTTAATTATCTATATCAAAATATCAACTGACCATTGTTGTTGATCTGGAACTAACCTTTCTTTATGCGTTCATAATCTTACTAATTTTATAATTGACGAGTGGCACTAACAGTTTACTTAAATCATAACGTGTTACCTCATGCTTTCTTGAGTGTTTTTAGTGAGGTTGTCTCCCTTCTCTTAATCACGAAGTTACCAGTTGCTTCCCTTTGATTGAAATAACTGATAAAGTAAATGCATATTCGTATAATATTGGCAAATACAAAGCAATTGGGGTCATTCCATTACTTTGTGCATTGCAATTAGCCTTTTATGGGCGTCTGAGTCCAGCCTAGATAACGTAATGGCCTTATAGATAAGGTAATGGTGATAACATAGCGTAATGGGCCTTCTCGACATAGTCGGGGCCCGCCTCATTCCGCAAAGATAAGTAAATGGTTATAAAATCAAATAACCCTTTACAATAACAATTTACTATATATCTTAATCTAGCTGTTGAGTTAAACAATAAAATAGGTTTAAGGCACGGAAAACATAAAAAAATGCAATAAGTAGGTTTAGTTTTCGTCTGGTCTGGTTGATGAAATACAAATTAATATGCCTGTCGACCTGCTGGAGATCTCACTTCGCCAGCAAGCATCAAGTGATGATTGTTTTGAAGAATTGGACTGGAGAGTCCATGTATGTCCAATAAGGTGCTGGAGCAAGCTGTCTTTATTGACCATCGACTTAAAGCCGCATGCCTCCAGATGAACTTAGCAATATCAACAAAATTAAACTTGAAAAAAAATGTACTAGGATTTTATGAGAAGTAAAATTATTCAAGATTCGAGTAATGATTTACATGTTATGTGCGATTAAGGACCGACTTTGCAGAAATTATCACCATATTTCTCTGCGTCACTAATGAAGTAAGGGCTACTTTTGCTTATTTTGACCTCTTTTTGGTAATTTACGAGGATTGCAAGTGCCGTTTGCCATTAGAAAATTATTTTTTCTTTGTTTACTTCACAATATTTTATCTTTCAAATACATTTTTAAGAAAAATCACGAAAATTTGCATGAATCTGGAGGCATGCTGCTTTAAAACATGTTTGAACCAATAAATACACAATGAATAATGTAGTACATCATATACACATTAAAATCTTTTATGCTATAATGTGTAACATTTTTATTTTATATCATTCTGTTGTATGTTTAGAAAAATAACCGTGGTGTGGACTGTGACACATGGGTTGCACAGAGAACAGATTATCCATTTACATACCCGACCAACTCCACGTGGGAATGGTACTTCGCTACGGTGAGTAACTGAGGGTTAGCTAGTATAACTGAGGGTTAGCTGTATAGGTGTAGTGCGTTTGTCCTGCTTTGAATTTTAAACATTCAATTTGAACACAGATATATAAACAACGGATAGGAAACTCCGAAAATAGACGAGAGTCCGATTCAGACCCACAATCCTTTGCGCGCTTCGGTGATAATCGGGCTTTCCCGCTAGTCTCTATATATCTTATATTTAGCTCCATGTTTTGAATAAAAAAAAATGAGCCACCAACAGTATCGAGCCTGGTCCGACTGCATGGGTGTGCGTCCCGGTATGTCTATATACTGGTGGCTGAGGCAAATCAATTAGTTCAAAATGCTCGAAACATCGTCTCTATTAAGTAAATTGGCTAAAAAATATCATCGAGTGATAAAAAATAACCTATTATATTAAAATTATTTTATGTTCTTTTTAGATTATCTTAGCCTTCAAACTGGCTTCAGTTGAGCAACGTACCTACGTTCTTAGCATTTTTCCTCACTCCTTTATTGTTGTTATTTCCATTATCAATTTTCAGCCAATACTTCATTCATTTATTCGTTCGTTTGTTCGTTCATTCGTTCGTTCGTTCGTTCGTTCGTTCGTTCATTCATTCATTAAAATGGAATTGCATTTGCCGATTTATTAAATCAATTCTGATTTTTATCCTTTACTACAGCGTATATATGAAAACATATAAATGTATACAAATGTATCTTGTATAATGTATGTTCTTGGATAAAATAATGTATAGCCCGGGGTTCTATGATATCACGGTACTTAACGTTTATCAGAAAATATTTAAATATAAATATCATAAATGAATGAGATTTTTTTCTATCTTATAATTGAACAATTTCAAGAACTGTTTGTCAAAAAATTATTTCAAAAGAACCAACAAAAATGACATTTTTTAGAATATTTTCAATGTCTGCCATTTTGGGTAATTTCAGAGGAGGTTACTACGGTATCAAGGTAATCCCCTAAAAAAGCAAGTATGGAAGGATAGATGGGTCAAAACTTTCAAGTTAAGTTGTGAAAAACTTCCAACAGCTAACTTGCTATAAAATTAAAACTATATGAACAGACTATATGTCAGTATATGTGTTTATAACATATTTTAATTGACTGTGTAGAAACCATTAAGGAAAATGGTAGTCAAATATGAAGGTTTTATAAAATAGTTTTCTTGCCACAAAAACATTCATTATTCACCAAATTAAATTCATTGGCAGGTGAAAATGAATCTAGTGTGCAAGTTTTACAAATATTAGCATCATCAGGTGTTGCTTTTACTAGCAGTCACAGAAAATTTAAATGCATTGATATCATAGAACCCTTGATATCATAGGAACCGAGTATAAACCTAATATACTGTGCTCCTCTTATTACACGGAACTTAACGCTTTAAAACAAGAAGAAAAACAAATAATGAACTAAGTCTTACTATACAAAACATATCATAAGATGTAACAGTTAGATATTTTCTCCTGTATGACACAAGAAAACAACAACATATTCAAAATCAGATTTAATGGTTAAGATATGGATCATAGATCTGCCATTTTGAAAACAGTTTGTTATCATTTAAATCGCGATTATTAGTGTTACATTTTTCGGTCGAAGGCCGTCAGATATCACCTTGACTTCCGCTAAAATTAACAGTAAAGGAATGAATATAGGCAGAATTTTCATTGGTCATTTTAACACTAATAGTCCGTTCGATTGATACTTTAGAAGAGCTTCCGTTATAGGTAGAGGTCTGTTCGATTGCGCGATGGCAAGACGTGTTGGAAAAAGATATAAGTCAGAATAAATAAAAAAACACAATAATTATAATTTATAGATGTTTCTAACAGCTCTTCAATAAATATATGAAATTAAATATGACAGATCGCCTTTTTGATACTTTTGCGTTTGATTGGATTTCTCTTCTAAGCTGTTCTGGTCATTATATTCTCTTCTCGAACCGGGCATAAGACGATTGAAACGAACTTTCGACTAATTTACAGTTGCAAAATTCTCCGTGGAATTAGTGTACAGTATCTAATAACTCTTTGTTTTATTTTTAATTCCTATTTAAATCAAATTCCATTTTGGTTAAAATCAAATAATGTAAGTAATAGTGTTTAAATCTAAGATGACAATTAATGGGGAAAAATATTGCGGGTAAAAATGAACTGAAATAGAAATATTGAGGACGAATAAAATGTTCTGTTTGCGGTTAGCATGGTAAGTAGTAGCTTATCCTATGCAAGTTAACAAGTTTGACTTCGGCCGAGTATCTTTTTAAAGATGCTTCTTGTTTCATGTATGTTTTATGCAGTTAAAACTACTATATGTTATATTGCTCAATTTAAGATACTAAAACTTAACTTTTTAACTCACAAGTAATTTTTTCAACAAACAAGAACGTTAATAAGAACATGATTGTTTCAGACGTATGCACACATTTTATTGGACTATTGTGGCGTTTTGCCGAAATCATTTAAATCTTGTAATGCTTTACGTTAAAATCTACAAATTTTTACTACTTTGCACAAAAACTTAGTAAAATTTAGGTGTGTGACTATAATATGTCAGTTTTTGGCCAATTCTTATAGTAGGTCACAAGGAAATATGCCATAACCGTGAAAAAATGATGACGCGAAATTATAGATGTTGAATACACTAATAAATAAAATTTTACCTATTAAAAGAAGAGAAATAGCTTTCATGTTATAATTTTCGCACTTGACACATGCTTTACACTCTGTTCAGTATATTCACTTACATATCACTTTCTGCCATGATATTATGCTTTGCTTGTACTCATGAGCTTTTCAGCCAAAGGAATTGAATAATAAACTTGTCTTGTCTTGTATGATGTTTTAGACACAATGGACTGAAGTGAATGCTGGGCCAGAATCTGGAAACATACCTATACAAATGAGGATCTCGTTTCCACTCGTAAGTTCTTCTCATTTATACTTTTAAATTGTTTAATTTAATGATATTGAATATGGTGGCTGATTTCTGCCATTCGTGTTTTCGCCCCGCGACCCCGCCAAGCGAAAAGTCGAGAATTAACAAGTTAAAATGGCGGGAGCCCGGAGCGAAAACACGCTAAAAGTGGGGACGCACCCCCTTCATTGTTACTTGTTAATTCTCGACTTTTGGCGAGGTGAAAACACGAATGGTACAAGTCAGCCAAAATAATTAACGTCATATACTTAGCGGAAAAAAGATCCCCATTCTGCAGGGACAGACGGGTTGAAAAATGCCATACATTGCAAGTTTGGCATGTGTAGTGATATGAAAGCGGAAGAAAACTAACAAAGTTTTACATAAAGAGTGGAGGCGTGGCCAGTGGTAAACGCTTCTGACTAGTAATCTAAAGATTGCTAGCCGCGTGGGTTCAGAGCCCGTCAGAGGCAAGCTGTTGTGGTCCTTGTGCAAGAAATTTTACACTCATTGCTTAGTACTGGTCGGTTCCAGGAACGGTTTCAGGGGTGTTTCAATAAGCTAATAGCTTCCAGCACAATCGAACAAAAGTAAATTTGTATAAACTATAAACAAAGGACGAATGATATACTTGTCACGCACTCTCGCTATACACCGTATCCTATGTCCCGTAAACGACCTAGGTATCAATGCATTATTATCGTATACAAAATATCATTATTAACGAAAAATAAATTGTTATACTAATATGTGTATGCTTTATTCCAGAACCCACACTGTCATTAAAGACAATTTATGTTCTCATTTGTTTAGTTTATACAAATTTATTTTAGTTCGATTGTGCTTGAAGTTATAGGCTTATTGAAACACTCTCGAATCCGTTCCTGGAACCAACCAGTACTGAGCAATAAGTGTGAAGTTTCTTATGGCTTGCTCCTGACAGCGTTATAACCCACGCGGTCAGAAATCCTTAGATTACTAGTCCAAAGCGTTAACAACTCGGCCAAGCTGCCACTCCATGGTTACACTCTCAACTCTCGTTTGTTTGATGTTTGTGAAGTTGGCAGCCTAGCAGCCTGAAGTTGGCAGCCTAGGAGCCCGGAGTTGGCAGTCCAGCAGCCTGGCAGCCTAGCATTTTGTTTGAGGGTGTACAATGTGCCATTGTATAGATATTCTTTGTACAGAATTAAAATTGTCCAAAGAGATATTTGAAATATATATTTTGTTTAAATGTTGACATTATTATCATTGACAAACATTCTCTTTTTATTTCAGCGTAGAAATAATGATAATTGAAGTAAATGCTCTTTTTTTCCATTTCAGAGCGGGCAATATTATCAATATAATCTCTATAACTTTAAGAAAACTAAACCAGATTTACTCAAATTTGACATCAGTGGATGTTATCAGTTTGGACAACGACGAAAGTTCCAGTTCTCATTGACAGGTAACTCAAACGGGGGAGGGGGTTTACTCTCATATATTCAAAATATAAAATAAAAAAGTCACAAGTACGGTGTCCTTTATTCGCTTGTCTCTCATGCGATAATTAGTACTCTTCAATGCGATAATTATTGTATGAAGAACGCACAACATACGAAAACTAAGGCGGTAATTATCGACGCGAAAATATTAAATTTCGCTAGCATATGAGTGTCTATGGTCTATAGAAAAGGGGGTAAATTATCGCTTGAGAGACCAGCGAAATTTAATACATGCGAAATTAAGTACTAAATTTTGCCCTATACAGGCGATAATTATCGCGTGTTACTAGCGAAATTTAGTGGACGAAATAGGACACCGTACATGGGCTTGCTTTTATTGGTTTTCTTTTGACGAGAGATAATGGAACACGAGGCATCCCCGAAGCCACCTAGCACCGCGCCCATCCAAGTACCGGTTTAAACAATATTCAATGCTTTATGCAAAACGTTTAGAACTCCATGATCCCGAAATCAGTGAATAATACTATAAGATAAACAATTTCTGAATGTAGATATATCACTCTTTGACGGTATGTTTTAGTAATATGTGAAATATCCGCAAGTCTTAGCATTTGCTCCATGTAAAACAGACTTGTTTGAATGTTCACTGAAATATATTTCTAACAGACTGGTTTTAATGTTTCAGTGACAGACGTTGTGAAGGCGAAGATCAGTACTAGTATGGAACAGTTCAAGTATTATATTCTTCAAGCTATCATGTCGGCAACAGGCCTCACTCCAATTCGTGTAGCAAATCTACAGGTAACTTTTAGACACGTTAAATATGAGCCCGCAATTCGTGTAGCAAATGTACAGGTAACTTTTACATACGTGAAATATGAGCTCTCAATTCGTGTAGCAAATCTACTGGTAACTTTTACATACGTTAAATATGAGCTCTCAATTCGTGTAGCAAATCTACAGGTAACTTTTACATACGTGAAATATGAGCTCTCAATTCGTGTAGCAAATCTACAGTTAACTTTTACATACGTTAGATATGAGCTCTCAATACGTGGAGCAAATCTACAGGTAACCTTTACATACGTTAGATATGAGCTCTCAATTCGTGTAGCAAATCTACAGGTAACTTTTACACACGTGAAATATGAGCTTTCAATTCGTGTAGCAAATCTACAGGTAACTTTTACATACGTTAGATATGAGCTCTTAATTCGTGGAGCAAATCTACAGGTAACTTTTACATACGTTAAATATAAGCTCTCAATTCGTGTAGCAAATCTACAGGTGAAATATGAGCCCGCAATTCGTGTAGCAAATCTACAGGTAACTTTTACATACGTTAAATATGAGCTCTCAATTCGTGGAGCAAATCTACAGGTAACTTTTACATACGTTAAATATAAGCTCTCAATTCGTGTAGCAAATCTACAGGTAACTTTTACACACGTGAAATATGAGCTCTCAATTCGTGGAGCAAATCTACAGATAACTTTTACATACGTTAAATATAATCTCTCAATTCGTGTAGCAAATCTACAGGTAACTTTTACACACGTTAAATATGAGCTCTCAATTCGTGGAGCAAATCTACAGGTAACTTTTACATACGTGAAATATGAGCTCTCAATTCGTGGAGCAAATCTACAGGTAACTTTTACATAATTACGTTAGATATGAGCTCTCAATTCGTGTAGCAAATCTACAGGTAACTTTTACACACGTTAAATATGAGCTCTCAATTCGTGGAGCAAATCTACAGGTAACTTTTACATAATTACGTTAGATATGAGCTCTCAATTCGTGTAGCAAATCTACAGGTAACTTTTACACACGTTAAATATGAGCTCTCAATTCGTTTAGCAAATCTACAGGTAACTTTACATTCGTTAAATATGAGCTCGCCATTCGTGAAGCAAATCTACAGTTAACAAAACATTGATTTTATATTTATATGTAGATTGTGAATTAAAATGTAAAACAATTATTACATTTTTGTTTTGTAAAATGCATCTAATTTTTACCAAAAAAAAGTTTAAAAATGCAGAACATTGACGTATCTATCTATTGAATGCGTGTGACTGTGTATAAAATTAGCATGAAGGCGTTAATGCTGTTTTTGATGAGACAATGTGTAAGATTGACTGAGTGATCTGAAGTCACTTTAGGGCATCATACCACGAGTGTCGGTGAGGCCTTTTTGCCGAAAAATATCCCAAGTAGGAATCATCAGGCTCTATTTGCATTGTGGCATGTTGTATACACCTCATGTTGTCAAGTTGGCATGATCTGAGCGCAATAAATTGAAATTGGCAATGTTGTTTAAAGCAGTGCATTCTTTTTGTATTAATTGTTTAAATTGATTATATGAATTACCGGTATAGTCTTTCACAACCTATCAGGGTCAGGGGTTACAAATATACATGCGCATGTATAACAATAAAATTAATGATAAATTACTGTTTGCGATCATATTTTAACTTTCATAACTTTATTGATTTGCGTACTTATTTCAGGTTTTTGTAGCAGGTGATATCGTGGTAACTTTTGAATTATTAGACGTTGCTCCGAGCATAGGTGATGTGAAAAAGGCGACGAGCTATAAAGAGGTTCCTCTTGAATTTGCTGCCAACACCCTAGCTAGTACAATACAAAGTAACCAATTCATCGTGACACTAGGTGGCGCTGCTTTTACAAACGTGAGATACGATTAGCTGTTTTGTCCGTCCAATGAAATTTCAAATATGTTTATTTGAATTTATAGAAATTCTTTATAAAAGTTTATAGCAGATCTCTACATTATAAAAGCTAAGTCTAAGTTTAGTTTTTATTTGTTTGGGTCGTCAGACCCAACAAATAATGGTAGCGAAATTTCAGACCCTGATATGCTTATTTGCAAAATCCGCAAGTAGTCCGTCAGGAACTGCTCGAAGCGGTTACGTTTATAAGAATAACCCTTTATAAGTACACTAACGCCGAACAATTAAGGGGAGATCACTGTGTAAAGATTGACAAATGACAGACGCATTAATTTTCAAACCTTCTCTGGGAAGAAAAAATAGTTCCTGATTGGGCGAAGATTTCTAACATTATGTAATTCTTTAACTTTTCTGCAAATTACCGGTAATATATTCAAATAATTTTGTTTCGCGGATTAATATCATTTTAATCAATGAAAATTGCTCGGCTATTTCCGTAAAGCTTTGGATTATTGGGATTGCCTAAATGAACATTTGTTATTAAGACTTTCTGAAAAAATAAAGTTGACTATAGGACAGAGACGAATTTAGGCAGTCGACGATCGATAATCAATTTCTACCATAAGTAACGGTCCTATAAATTAAGCATCCGATAATCCAGACGTATTACACAAAGAGTAGTGAAATATTATATTCATGTGAGAATTATTTCACAGATATACATGCTTATATTAAGCTCCATGACTATATACATCAGTGTTAAATAACAGGTTTATCGTAAAAGATATCAAATATCTCGAAATTAATAAGGATTTCAAACTTTAATTTAGAATAATGTGGTTTGCTTTATAACCTCCCAGTGGTCCAGGGGTTACACGCTCGTTTAGGAAGCGAGAGGTCTGTGGTTCAAATCCCAGTTAAGGCAACTCAAGTTGCTGTGTTTTTTTTAATTGTTTAAGCCAAATAAACATTGAATTGAATATCAGTGTTGCAATTAGCCTTATAAATAGTCAATTTACTACAGTTATAACTAACACTGGAAACAGCATTGCTGGCACTATACAAAAACAAATTGGTTTATAATCATTCACAACTTTCACCTTTCTTGCATTAAAAGACCCAAACAAATTCAGCGCCTTCAGTGCTTTGATTTTATAGTATAATATATTTGTATATTATAGGTAAAGCCACTGATAGCTAAGTCTAACAGTATTATAGAGATCACATATACGAATGTGACAACCACGGTACAGAATCAAAACCAAGCAGGTTACGGTGCCGGTAAGTTAGGCTACTTACTTTACATATTCATTACTTACTTTGTCTAACCATAATTATACACTACTGATTTTTTTCATTTTTCTCACTTCATTTTTTCACTCACTTATCGTATCTACCAATATATTTTTCATGTTAAAAGTATTTTTTTTTACATTCATCTCTTTATACCAACCACTCACTTTAAATACAAATATACCACTAACTTTTTAAATCTACAACTTTCTTTTTAAATCCACCATTTACTTTTTTAATCCACCACTTGCTTTTTAAATTCACCGCTTACTTTTTAAATCTACCACTTACTTTTTAAATCTACCACTTACTTTTCAAATGTTTCACTTACATTCTAAATCCACCACTTACTTTTTGAATACGCGCTTACTTTTTAAATCCACCACTTACATTTTAAATTCCCCACTACTTACATTTCTAATCCACAACTTACTTTTTTAATCTACCACTTACCTTTTCCACGACTTCCCTTTTTTAAATCCACCCACATTCTTCTTTAATCCACCACTAACTTTACTAACTGACCTCTAACATTGCTATATCTGCTAAATGTGGTCTGTTTTATATGTGATTTATAAAATCAGCCATCTTTTTTTGTCAGACGATTGCGTTTCGTTTAAAGTTGTAAAGTTATTACAATTATTTATATTTTATTACCCATTCACTTTTATATGCAATATAATACAACATAGTTTGATGGACAATAATTATTCACATATTATTTCAGGACCTATGGCGGGAGTTGGAATATCAATGCCTATTCTTGGAGCTGGCATGGGCATCGTGTTCGCATACTTTTTCTTCAAATAATTCATGTAAGTATATACGAGAAAGTTTTGTTTTCTGCTGTTCAATGAGCTCATTTTATCAAATACTTCATTCATTAAATCCTTTATTCATAAAATCCTTTATTCGTTAAATCCTTTATTCATTCAATCCTTTATTCATTAAATCCTTTATAATTCATTTATTCCTTTATTCGTTAAATCATTTATTCGTTAAAACCTTTATTCATTAAATCCTTTATTCATACAATCTTTTATTCATTAAATCCTTTATTCATACAATCTTTTATTCATTAAATCCTTTATTCATACAATCATTTATTCGTTAAATCCTTTATTCATTAAATCCTTTATTCATACAATCTTTTATTCATTAAATCCTTTATTCATACAATCCTTTATTCATTAAATCCTTTATTCATACAATCTTTTATTCATTAAATCCTTTATTCATACAATCATTTATTCGTTAAATCCTTTATTCATTAAATCCTTTATTCATACAATCTTTTATTCATTAAATCCTTTATTCATACAATCCTTTATTCGTTAAATAAGTCAAACTCAAAGTCAACATTTATATAGGTGATTATTTCCGGCTACATTTGGTGATATGTTCTTATAGAATACACTTCGTAAAGACTTAGACATACAGGTGACAAGTTACTAAAACTACCAATTTTACTAAAATAATCAAGAACTATTTTTTAGATACCAAATATAATAGGAAATAGGAAACAATGTTTCATTCTCTTTTATGTAAACATGTACATGTATGTATATATACATACATGCATTTATTTTTATTCTATATTTCAGATTTCACCAGAATTGCATGGAAGTTGTGCACGGAACATTACTTAGTTGAATTTGCTTTAAAATTTGTTAAATACTGTTAAAAATATGCAATATAATTTATGCTTGAACATCGCGTTGTAAAGAATACAAAGAATAAAGACCAGCATTTTGCGTCATGTGTTGTGAAAAGAAAACAAGAATTGCTCTCATACAAACGTTAAAGGCGTTCAAAACTTGTGACGATTTATTTTGGTTTGATAAAGATAACAGTTTATATAAGTTTACTTTTTCTTCTTCTTCTATTGATTTATTAATCAACTTGGTTTATTCAACGCTCATTAGACGATGATATTTGAGCCGCGTCACGACAAAACCAACATAATGGGTTTGTGACCAGCATGGATCCAGACCAGCCTGCGCATCCGCACAGCCTGATCAGGATCCATGCTGTTCGCTATCAGTTTCTCTACTTGTAATAGAGTTGGTAAGCGAACAGGATGGATCCTGATCAGACTGCGCGGATGCGCAGGCTGGTCTGGATCCATGCTTGTCGCAAACGCACTATGTTGGTTTTGTCATGACGCGGCTCATTTGTCTTATATAGTCTGTAAAGACAAGTTCCTTGTTTCTATTTTAAAACAAATGTGATGAACATAATTATCTCTATAACATTTTATACAGACCTTGTATAAGAGACAGTATTTTTTTACAGTCGAATAAATATGTGATTTGTATTATATTTTAGTGCAATAAATATAAATGTGCAATTATATAAAAGAAACACTTTTTCGTTTGTTTTATTTTGATAGGTTATTCATGACATAAGGCGTATCCTTCTAAGTCCTTATTATACTCGTACAGAATATTGTGAGCATTGTAATGAGTAAGTGTGCGAGGCGACGTTAATTGAATATTACGTCACTTTTTTCTACAACGGCACATTAAAGGGACTTCACTGAGGTTTTTTGACATGACAGGACTGGGTATAATTTTTCCGCACAAATTTTCAATTTTATGTAGATCTATGCCAATAACTTTTGTGGAAAACTTCAGATCATTCACTCTTTTTGTAAAAAACAATCCAACTTTTCACTAAAACTGGGCTAAGAATAGTGAAAAAAAATATAATGTTCAATCTATTTCTCAGTATATTTCTTAATTATCTGTACGCGCATCTTTCTTTTTTAAGCACACCAGGTATCTATGTATTAAATCTAAATTTCGTGTTTTATGCTTTTAAACCTCAGTGCAGTTCCTTTAAGGCCAAGAAATCCACATTAAAAAAAAATCTTTTGAAGGGTCAAATATGAGTTTAGTACATGTAGTAAAGTTTTAATAATGGATTAAGCACATATTACATGTTTAATTAAGAACGAACTAAAGACAGTGGCGCTGAATGTGTAATAATTGGTTTCTATACAAAATATTAATTCACTATTTATTATATCAATTGCCAACAGAGCAAATGAAGCAAACATATTGAATTTAAATGTCAATGTTTCAAAAAAAAAGTTTTAGGGAAGTAACATTTAAGCATTTCTGAGACATAATGGGCCTTTAAAATTTTAAAATAAAGAATTGCTCATCTGTCACTAAACTATGAAAGAGAGAGATACTTGCGAGGTGTCTTACCCAATCGCAACTACTCGGCCCTTTCCGTCAGGTTATACGAAACTCAGATCTCTATAATACTGCACGCCTGTAACGTCGCTTTTCATTTGATAATCGTAACGTTTATATAGTTTTATAAACACGGCTGCTGTCAATTTATGAAAAAATCTCACTCTTTTCTCTAAAAAAAGATGCTTGCTGCATTATAAATTTGTTATATTGTTATATTTCAGACAGGTTATATGACCGTATAGAAACGGCTGTTTGCAATATAACCCTCGTCTAACGGCTCGGGTTATATTTACAAATAGCCGTTTATATAGGGCCATATAACCTGTCCACGATCTTTATAACTAATATTTAACCGCCTCCGTGGTCGAGGGGTTAGAGTCGATGACTTCTAATCCAGTTACCTCTCTGGCGTGGTTTCGATCCCCGGGAGATGCTTTGGTAGTGTAGCGCGGAGGAAGGTAGTCTAGTACTGGTGTAACTCTCCAGGAACGATGGTTAGGAAACTATCCGCCCATATGACTGAAATACTGTTGGGAAAAGGCATAAAATGAAACAAACAAACAAACATAAATTATAACTAATATTATAATACTGCACATTTGTAACGTCGCTTTTCATTGGATAATCGTGACGTTTATATAGTTTTATATACAAGGCTTCTGTCGATTCATTAAGAAATCTTTTTTTTTTCTCTAAAAAATGATGCGTGCTGTATTACAAATTCGTAATAAAGATTGTTGACATGTTATATGGCCGTATATAAACGGCTGTTTGCAATATAACCATCGCCTTGCGGCTCGGGTTATATTTACAAACAGCCGTTTATATAGGGCCATATAACCTGTCAACGATCTTTATAACTAATAATATACACGGCTGCTTTCAATTTATGAAAAAATCACCCTTTTCTCTAAAAAAAGATACTTGTTGTATTATAAATTCGTTACAAATATTTCAGACAGGTTATATGACCGTATATTAACGGTTGTTTGGAATATAACCATCGCCTAGCGGCTCGGGATATATTTCCTCACAGCCGTTTATATAGTACCATATAACCTGTCAAAAATCTCTATAACTAATAATATAAACATTCCTTTATATAACACCGGTAGTGCTGAGTCTAGGGTCCGAGGTTATCCGAAACTCAGATCTCAGATATTTGATTGGTCAGATACCTGTTTAACCCATTACGTTATATACAAGCCTTTTAACGCCTTTTCACCCCCCCCCCTTTTTTGTTGTCTCAAATGGTGAAAAAAATGCCTTATTTAGGCCCTCAACACTTGTTTTTGTTTGAGAAATGTTGTTAAAAAAGTGACCTCTTTTTCGGCGCGGCCTCCCAACCAAAATATACATCAGGGGGTTGCCAAAAGGGGATGTGCCCCCTTCTGTTTGGGGGGTTTGAAGGGGGGCGGTGTCCCCCTGATCGCCAAGAAAATTTTGGACTTTTGAGAGGCTATAAATGACCCCAGATTGATCATAACGTAACGTGTAACCAACGCTGAAAGGCATTTGACTCTATCTCAATCCATTGAGAAGTTGCAGCACTTTGAAATCAATTTTGATAGTAAAAATCAACGCAAAATAGTGATTTTTGGCAATTTTGAGATGTCCCCTCGTTGCCATAGTAACAGAAAATTTAAGCCTGAGCATGTTGTTGCAAGGGCAATGGTCCAGTCAACATTTGTGCCAAGTTTGATTAGTGTTGAAGCAGTTTTTATAGTATTATAGCAATTTGAACTTGTAACGGGAGACTTTTCAATGAAAACAGCCATTTTTCACAAAATGCTCATGAAGTAATGGGTTAATGAAAAAAATAAAAAAATCTACAAAACAACAATTTTTCTTCAAATTTATATGACAGGCCATGTTTAAACATGAAAAAACGCGATTTAGGGTAATTTCAAGTATTTTCATCATTTTCTGTTAACCCATTACGTTATATATTCGCCTTTTATCGCCTTTTTCACCCCCCCCCTTTTTTGTTGTCTCAAATGGTAAAAAAATGCCTTATTTAGGCCCCCAACACTTGTTTTTGTTTGAGAAATGTTGTTAAAAAAGTGACCTCTTTTTTGGCGCGGCCTCCCAACCAAAATATACATCAGGGGGTTGCCACCCCTTCTGTTTGGTGGGTTTGAAGGGGGGCGGTGTCCCCCTCATCGCCAAGAAAATTTTGGACTTGTGAGAGGCTATAAATGACCCCAGATTGATCATAAGGTAACGTGTAACCAACGCTGAAAGGCATTTGACTCTATCTCAATCCATTGAGAAGTTGCAGCACTTTGAAATCAATGTTGATGGTAAAAATCAACGCAAAATAGTGATTTTTGGCAATTTTGAGATGTCCCCTCGTTGCCATAGTAACAGAAAATTTAAGCCTGAGCATGTTGTTGCAAGGGCAATGGTCCAGTCAACATTTGTGCCAAGTTTGATTAGTGTTGAAGCAGTTTTTATAGTATTATAGCAATTTGAACTTGAAACGGGAGACTTTTCAATGAAACAGCCATTTTTCACAAAATGCTCATGAAGTAATGGGTTAAAGGGACTTTACTGACGGTTTTTGACATGACGGACTGGAAATAATTTTTTTGGATTATTACTCCATCTGATGTAGACCTATACTAATAACCTATGTTCAAAATTTCAGATCATTAGCTCGCTCTGTTTTTCCAGAATAATTATTAAAATAGGGAAAATTACCCAAAATTGAAAAGCGTTTAAACGCTTTTCAGTCAAATCGAACTGAGAATAGCACAAACATATGATTTTCAATGTATTTCTTAATTATAATTTATTTATATTTCTGTTTTAAGTGCTCATGCACTATGGGAAAAATTAAACTTTTATGTTTTTAGGCTTATAAACCTCAGTGGAGTTCCTTTAAAATATACACTGACCAACGAAAATCCTGATATTCATGGCAGAGCTCACAAACGAATAATTTATTACCTCGAACCCAGACAGCGGACTTGACCGAGCCTGCAACATTTACAATTTGGGCGTTCAAACTGATATAAATTACGATTTACAGGAAAGGAAATAGAGACAAGAAATTAACTTATATTTTCTATAGATACTTTATTGCGGTACATGAGGAATAAAATAAGATAATAAGGCCGTCCAAAAATAAATTGGAAAATAGATCTTTATGGCACAAAACATTTTAAATCTCATTTCGCGAAATAGAGTCCATTTCGTGATTTGTGGTACAACTGATATTATTAATTTGTAAATGTGTTCCCCCCCCCCTTTATGTTGACTATTGTTAGCACGTATTATATAAAAGAAATACGATACGTTTTATATATAAGGTGGGATATCAAGTTTGTGTGTACTTAATGTATTAAAGCTGCACGCCTCCAGATGAGCACAAATATTTAAAATAATTCGATCTTTTGAAAAATGTATTAAGATCTTAAGAAAATTTTAAAATATTCAATATTTAATTGTTTATTTACATGTTAAGTGCGATTAATAACTGATTTGCAGTATCAATCACTATAATTCTACTGCGTTACTAACCCAGTAAGAGGTATTTATTTTTGTATATTTTGACCTCTTTTTGGTAATTTACGTGGATTGTAAGTGCCGTTTGCAATATGTAAATTACTTTCTTTGTTCACTTCACAATATTAAAAATTAGCATAAATCTGGATGCATGCTGCTTCAATCTTTTTACAAAATTCTTCAAGGTTTTAATCCAAATTAGCTTCCAAAAAGAGCTTTTAACTAACGCCTAAAAACTTAAAAAGTTCGCCCCTTCGTCTGACTTTATCATATGCAAAACATAATTTATTTTTGTAAGGGATGCATTCAGATTAATAATCTATTGTACTTTGTCTTTCGACATCATTGACTTTTACAATTGACAATGCTAACGTTCTGGTTGTAGAAAGGGTTCCCTGTATAATCAGAGATTCATAATTACAGAACTATATGTGCGTGCATATTTCCGTGGTTTTACTTTGGATTCATTATTAGAAATCGCCCGGCATAGCACAATATCGTGATGTATCGTTAGAGTTAGAAATCGCCCGGCATAGCGCAATATCGTGATGTATCGTTCGAGGGTGTGTAGCGATGACATTGCAGCTTATTTGGCCAGGGCAGACCCTGGTAGATGAAATCAAAATGTGTGGAGCAGTCTCGTTTGAT